CGACCAAGTATCCTCATAATCATGGTCATCATTATCGAGTTAGTTGCGCCTCGTGTTATCATGAAAACACGATTTCTCTTTCAACTGAATTTTTATCTTTTCACGACTCTTTGGGGACCATGTTATGTTTCCTCGATATGGCCGGACCCGTGACATTATGGACACATCGTCCGATCGTTCCAAAAAATATCCAGTTTCATGTTCCGAATCATATTCCAATCCTAAACTGTTAAGCGTCTTAATCAATAACTTTGAAATCTGTTTTTAACTTTGCATTGTTTAAGGAAAAAAGTTTTTTTAATCTTATAATTTATTAATACTTAACGTACTAAACAATGGAACAATAAAATCTCTTAATATACTCCCCAAACTTTTGACTTTTAAATGTACAGTTAAATAAAGTCTTGTAAAAAATATTAAACTTGATTAATACAGAAAATTCATATACACTTACAGTCTGCCGATTAAATGAACGGCATTAAGAGACGATCTTAAACCTGAACTTTCGACTTCAAATGGAAGAAATTGGACTATCACGCATGAATTATGCGGGCTGCATGCGAGATCGTAGTAGGATTCTCCAAAAATTTCATAACTTTTAGTCAGTACAGACGCCCTCTTAACAGCTATCCATTTATATTTAAAAAGATTCATTGCTGTTATGTAAAGGCCAATATCCCAGTGATTTGGATCATCATCATGTGGAGGATTAAGCGTTTTCACGTATTCGCAAAACGAAGGGAGCAGTTCTGCGATGTCGCCGTCAGAAACAGGCAAACCTGACGGTTGTTGTCGCCAAATATGCAGATGTACCAAAGAAATATCGATAGGGATACCCAAGCTCGGAAGATAAAAGAAAGTCTGGATAAAACTCACATATTCATGCATCATATCGGTAATCTTTGTATCATCGTTTAGAATAGCCTTAAACTTGCGATATGCTTCTACATCAACGAATACGGCCAATTTTATGGTAAATTTTTCTTGCTCTTTTTCTTGTACTACGTGACGTTGTTTCCGTTTAAAATTGTTTATATGGTGAAAATTAGAATCATTATAATATTGAAGTAATCTTCTAATAAGATGAGGTTTTCCGAATGTTTGATTAATTTGATCTTTAATGCAAACATTGTCGATGAATGACAAAGGGACAAATACGTTCTGTAAAGGCCGAATTTCTAATATATCGTCTTCCACAAGAATAATTCCTTCCCACTTTAAAAAAAATATATATATGTTTTATATTTGACAAATAAAGAAAAATCAAGGTGGAAAGTAAAACCATGATAATTTCAAAAGTTTGTTTCTCATATGATACTACTGACCAATCCATGTTCTTGACAAAAGTTGATGGCCGCAGAGCTGACATGACCTTCGTGAAAATAAATGCAAATATCCGATGCTTTCAACTTCCACAATTTTTCTGCGACATCTTTTGCGTAATTTTCTTCTACTTTGAGCGCAGATGATACAACCTCATCATTTCTATGCAGGTTGAGCTGTATGAATTTTCCGAAAACTTTTAGAGTTAATGGTATCTATTAATTAAATGACAAGAAAGAACATTATAATCTACGAATAATGGTTTATGCTCTGAACAATAAATAAAACACTACAATGCAACGCACGTACCTCTATTGCTCCTGTCGGTTCCCATGCCGGCAGCAATATTATTTCACTATCTTGTGTGACATACTCGTATGTCTGACTTGTTAAAACTATTAATATCAATTTCAATAAAAAAAACATATTTTTTTAGCTTGCGTGTCTTTATTTTATAATTACTGAAAATTATTTAATTGAAGTTTTTTTGTGTATTACCAATTCTTATATGCATACGAAATTAAACTATTACATTTGTTACATTTGATTACATTTGTTATACCGTAGAGGATCGCGTGTCACTAACATACTGCCTTCTACGCATAGGAATATCATACGTGTCGTGACATCTGTTGTGTATATTCGCCCTGCTATATGTTTAAACTTATTGTCCGCGTATCCAAAGTTTTAATTTGATACGTTGTCTTCTTGAAAACGGTGTAGCAAATGCAATTTATCATTTACATGTTTAATTTGTAATATTATTTGGAAATGCGTAACTTCAACTGACAATTAGATTTTCAAGAGTTCGAAATTAAGATTGGTTTAATAATTCATGATTTACTGTGAATCCGTTATGTCTTGAAAGTTACATTAGTGTTAACAGATAAAAAAATCAAAAGCAAACAAAAAATGATAAAACTGAAATACAATCACTCATTGTGATAGACATTGTAAGTCAAACCTTTTCTCATATACATTCTGCCTAATAGAAATATTTTTCATATTATATATCAAGAATAATTAAAGAATATATTAAGACTCGATTGTTTCAAACATCATGTAAAAATCAATTATGTCATGTAAAGTGCTCCTAAATTAAATAAATAATTAACTATTTATATTGAAAAATCATTGAAATATGTAATACGTAATTTTTTATTTTTGTTTCTAATATTGATACTTTTTTTACAAATTAAAAAACATAAATAAAACATTAAGCAATACGGAATTAAATGTCATAGCAGATTATTATTCTTCTTTACGTAATCACATTTTTTCACTTTCTTTCGAACGTAATAACATTGCCTCCATTTTATTTAACACATTATACTCCCTTGTCATAACATGTCTATAATTACTATTCATACATACATGTTGATCATGTATCGCTAATTATTCTTTGAATTTATTATATTCTTCAAATGAGTAACTTTCCGGCAGACAATGAGTCTGACAGCAATAATAGTCCTGGCCTTCTTTCTTGTGACATCACGTTCCATCGGGAAAGAATGGGTCGACGCCAAAATTAAGCAATTCTAAACGTGGTGCGTAATAGTCTAATGACTCTTTCACTCGGCAATGTATAGTACACGCTGTCTACGGTTTCTCGGCATCATGAAGACGTTGTTTTCCCGGCTAAATTAACGACAGTTTGACCAATAAATCTTCATCGTTTGCAATTTTACTGAATTTCATGCATTTCGTGGTAGTAAACTCATCAATGGTCTGTCGTTTCTCAGTACAAAGTAAAAAATTATCGCATAAAACCATGTCGTAATATGGTCCTATGCATTTCGTCGTTTTATGAGTCCGATGTTTGCAAAAACATCGTTTGGCTAGTACGCCTTTGGATTTCATTAAACAAATTTTCTTACAGGAGTTCTCCTTCCATTCACTCCACTGATTACTTTCACAATACTTAAAATTGTATGGCGGTTCGATGACGGTCACGCATTCGCCGCCACGGCATTCATTCTCGAGTGCGCAATAAGTTTCTAAATAAAATCGATACATTTGAAGTATCAATGAAATTAATCGATAAAATTTGAGAATGTTTTCAGAAAGAAAAACATTCAGTGCGCGTCCGGCGAAATAAGATTCACTCTTGAGAGACGTCTCGCATTGTAAACTTTGACATATATCATGCAACGTGACCACGTTCGGATGTTTGTCGCGCAAAAATAATTCACATTGTGCTCTGGCGGTGCATTTTCTTCCGTGTAAACCATCATAAAGCGGATCTTGAAACATGTCGACCAAGTATCCTCATAATCATGGTCATCATTATCGAGTTAGTTGCGTCTCGTGTTATCATGAAAACACGATTTCTCTTTCAACTGAATTTTTATCTTTTCACGACTCTTTGGGGACCATGTTATGTTTCCTCGATATGGCCGGACCCGTGACATTATGGACACATCGTCCGATTCCAAAAAATATCCAGTTTCATGTTCCGAATCATATTCCAATCCTAAACTGTTAAGCGTCTTAATCAATAACTTTGAAATCTGTTTTTAACTTTGCATTGTTTAAGAAAAAAAGTTTTTTAAATCTTATAATTTATTAATACTTAACGTACTAAACAATGGAACAATAAAATTTCTTAATATACTTCCCAAACTTTTGACTTTTAAATGTACAGTTAAATAAAGTTTTGTAAAAAATATTAAACTTGATTAAAACAGAAAATTCATATACACTTACAGTCTGCCGATTAAATGAACGGCATTAAGAGACGATCTTAAACCTGAACTTTCGACTTCAAATGGAAGAAATTGGACTATCGCGCATGAATTATGGTGGCTGCATGCGCCATCAAAGTAAGTTTGTCCCCAAACTTCATAGTTTGTTTTCACTGCAATCCCATGAGCTATTAATTCGTACTCAAAAAGATCTGTTCCTGTTATGTAAAGGCTAATGTCCCAGTGACCTGTATCTGTCAGGTTATCATATGGAGGATTGAGTGCTTTCGTGTACTTGCAGAACGAAAGGAGCAATGATAAACTTCTGTCAGTAACATTCAAAGTTGCCGGTTGATTTTGCAAAATGTTTAAATGTACCAAAGAAATATCGATAGGGATACCCAAGCTCGGAAGATGAAAGAAAGTCTGGATATAACTCACATATTCATGCATCATATCGGTAATCTTTGTATCATCGTTTAGAATAGCCTTAAACTTGCGATATGCTTCTACATCAACGAATACGGCCAATTTTATGGTAAATTTTCTTGCTCTTTTCTTGTACTACGTGACGTTGTTTCCGTTTAAAATTGTTTATATGGTGAAAATTAGAATCATTATAATATTGAAGTAATCTTCTAATAAGATGAGGTTTTCCGAATGTTTGATTAATTTGATCTTTAATGCAAACATTGTCGATGAATGACAAAGGGACAAATACGTTCTGTAAAGGCCGAATTTCTAATATATCGTCTTCCACAAGAATAATTCCTTCCCACTTTAAAAAAAATATATATATGTTTTATATTTGACAAATAAAGAAAAATCAAGGTGGAAAGTAAACCATGATAATTTCAAAAGTTTGTTTCTCATATGATACTACTGACCAATCCATGTTCTTGACAAAAGTTGATGGCCGCAGAGCTGA